ACAGCTTCACCCGGAAGGACGCGGCGGGCGTGGACTGGGTGCTCCCCGTGCCAGGGCGCCACCGGTGTTGGTCTCCGGGGTGATGCATTTTGGCAAGCTGGTGCTAGTTCCCTCACGTGAGCGGTCTGCTCTGCCCATCGAGCTGTGGTGGGAAGTGGTTCAGCGCCCTGCGCATCGGCGCCAAGTCATCTTTCTAACCATCTGTGTCGTGTGTGAAGGGTTTGCACGCTCCTGTGGCAAGGCTCCCCACCTCACCCCCCGCCCCTTGGAGTTGGCTACACCTCTCAGCTTGAGCTGTTTGCTTTCCTGCAAGCCTCTCAATTGAGTCATTGCATCACAGTGTTGTAAAGGGCCCTCCCCTTGGCCCCCCAGCCTGGCACTGAGTGTTAACTCTCCCTCGAGGAGCTGTTTTTTTGTAAGGATGTGAAGCCTTGTTTTGGGATGGTGACAGACAATTGGAGTTCCTGTGTCCACACGGGTCTTTACAAATACTGATTGTGCCAGTTGGTTGTTGTGTTTAGAACTAAGATTTGCTGTCTTGACTGAAATGGTTTCTGTCTTCCTCTGTAGCAAGAAGTATGACCTCTTCCTGGGATCTCTTGAGTGTATATTAACAAACTTGACAGGAGCAGGATGCTGGTTGCTATGGTTCCCCTGCTGTACCTGTGGCAGATGAAGGTGTTGTGTCTTGTGTTGTGGCAGGGTTGACAGCCTAGTTCAGGGGTGGGCAAAATGCAGCCCGCCAAGCCATTCTATCCAGCCTGCGGGGGCCATAAAAAATTTAGAAAACTAATATGTATCTGCCCTGGGCTGCCTGTCATGCGGCCCTCGATGGCTTGCCAAAACTCAGTAAGCGGCCCTCTGCCTGAAATAACTGGCTGCCCCGGCCTAGTTTCTCTAAGAGGTTAGTGGTTTGGATAGGGATGATCCTGCCTCCAGCAAGGGTTAGACAAGATGACCTCTGGAGGTCACTTCCAGTCCGAGTTCAGTATGGCTCTATGGTTCCTTCCCAGCATGAATAAGAAGCCAGAAGCATTGTTACTGTAACACTTTTCTGTTGACTGTTAAACTTCAGAGTGGGGGAGCAGTGAGAGAGGACAGGCAAAACACCACACTTGGTCTCCTATATTTTTTGAAAGTCATCTGCATTCTCTGCCTGCTTCTATGTCTGAGGCAGATGCTAAGTATAGGACTGCACTGGGTATGATGCTCTGTCCATGCAATTACAGCATTCTGCTGGGGAAATGCTTGTACAGAGCTATGGTGGTGCTCCCACCAGAAGCTGCATTAAGTCTTCTGGCGGTTGGATACAGGGGTCAAGAAAAAAGTGAAGCAATAAATGTACTGGCCCAAGTGCAGAAAAGAAATGGATAGGACAAAAGACAGCAAGTGAGTGGAGGAAGGGTGGGGTCTCACTGTACCACCACTGCGCGAAGGCAGTTCACCAAAAGAGTTGGCACCTTTTTATGTTGCTAGCCCCACTCAACAGTGTAACACCTCCTTTGGCAATTGCCTCAGTACTCATTGGTTTCAAAGAGGTACTGAGCATTATGAAACAGAGTACATGTAATTCCCAGAATGCAGTGGTGCAGTTACAGGGCTTTGCAGATGTGCCAAAGTGGTCCTCCAAACTAATATTGGTGCCTGATGTGCTATCATCACCAAGACAACCAAATGTCTCCTGCCATTGCAGTCCTTACAGTGAGTCCTCACTTGTAGATCTTGCCTTCTGCCTTAATGTAAAATAAGCCCAGCACCATTGGGGAGATCATAAAATTGTGGGTTTTGTTTGGTTTTTCCCCAAATGCAGAAGCTGTGGAAACATATCAAGCACAAGTATGAAGATGACAAACAGTAAATTGCCAAGCACCGGATCCATGGTGGGGTATTTGTGGTGTTCTGTGCAAGGCTTTCCATCTCCTGATGCCAGCTATTGAAAATGAACAAGGATTTCTGACTGAAGCCAGAGCTGCATCCACCACTTACAGCTATGACCGAGAACTAAATGGACTCAAGGATTTTCTCTTTATTGTGTTGAAACTTACCATGGTAAAATAATAAAGTCACTGACTTGTACCCCTTATGCTTGCATGTTCATCTGAATTAACCTGGTGCTCTGTATGTAAGGGAAGGTTTTCTCTTCAGAAAATGGAGGGCTCTTATTTAGTCTGCCACTAAGTGCATTTTCAGTATGGAAAGAAGATACTTTTGGTGTAACCTGAAAGATTTGAAAGCATTTATATAGCTGAGGGCTGTTGTCAATATTTACTGCCTTTGCTTGGAAAATTTTCCCATTTTTGACTCATAAATGAATGTTCAGACAGCAGCAAAAGCCTTAAATAGGCAGACATAATAACTAGCCAATATGTCACAGCAGAAACAATCTGCCCTTAAACGCTTGTTTTTATTGAACTATTAAAGGGCTGTTTATTTGCAAAAGTTATTTCTCTTTTAGTCAACTGTATTTCACTGCCTTGGGGTTCACATGATGCTTTAGTTTCACATGTTTCTTAAAGTGATTTTTAGATTTCCCCAGTCTAGGAGCAAGAGTATAACTTTTCTTGCATCTCAAACAAGCCATTCTTTATACACTGGCAAATTATGTCTATTTACTTATTCAGCAAAAGGGTTGCTTCAGTGACCTCAGGTTAATTAAAAAAAAAAAAAAAAAGATTATCTATCCCTGTTTAGTGAAGTGATCTTTTCCCAGGGCTTTTCAACCTTTTTTAAGAAGTGTACTCCTAGTGGCAGTGGCTGGGGACGGGGGTGGGGGGGGGGGGTTGAATTCACTGCCCCCACACCCAACTTTCCCAAAGCCGATTGCACATGCAGCTCTACAGGCTGCTAACGGGCTTTGCACCCCACGAGTTGCGCACCGCCCACCAGCAGCTTGCAGAGCCACATGTACGACCAGCCGTGGGAAAGCAGTGCTCAGTAGTGGTGCGAGGTAGTGGATGGTGGTGGTGGCCACTGAATGCGAGCTCCCCTTCCGCTGCCCCCTACTTGCCCTTATTGAATCCCATCTGACAGCAAACTGCTTCTCCAGTCTATCCCTGTCATTCTGTTCTTAGCCCTGCCCTTCAGAGTGCCCACAATTCCACCCAGCTTGTGAAGCATGTAGCATTTGATCCTGACTGAAGATATTAAACAATATCAGACCCCAGGGGAACCCCACTTGATACCCTTTCCTGACTAGATATTGAGCCATTGGAGACTATGCACTGATTATAAAGATCTAACCGGTTGTGCATTCACCTTGCAGTACTTCCAGGCCATTCTATCCGACCCATGGGGCCCCTCAAAATTAAAAAAATGAATATTAATCCTAATCTGCCCCTGGCTGCCTGTCAAAGATGATAGGAGCCAAAGACAGTAGGACTGAGGGGAAGTCACAGCAGGCTCCTGCAACAGCAAGGTCCACCTAGCCCCCCCTCCCCCCACCCAGCTGAAAGCCCCTGCCTGTCTGGTCTGGGAGCATGGGGTTGTTTGCCTCCCTGTACTGCAGTGGAAAATTCAGGTAAGGGAAGAGGCGGCGATTGCCTCAGTCCTCGGGGCCTGGCTGGCTCCTGCTGATTCCTGCAGTCCGGCCATGCAGCCAGGAACCACATGGTGCAGAGCGGCCAGCAAATACCCAGGAAACTCGGGAAAGTGGTGGCAGGAGGAGTGGAAGTGAGTGGCGTGTGGGAGCATGGGGCCTGTACCAGTGTCACCAGTGGGGCCCAGAGCGGGGTGGCAGGAGTGCAGGGTGTGGGCTGGCAGGGGTCTGGAGCTGGCTTGGGCTGTGCCAGCAAGGAGAAAGGGGAGCTGACCTGGCTCCGTAGAGCCTCAGCCTGCCAGGACCCCATGTTCCTGCCATCCTGTTCTGGGCCCTGCCTGTGCAGGCCCCGCGCTCCTGTCCGGCCTTTTCCTGGCTCCTGTGCACCCACTCGCTTCCACTCCCCAACCCCCAGCCCCAGCCCCATGGTACAGGCGGGGATGAGAGTGCGCAGCCCTGACCCTGTGCTTGCCCATCTAGGCTGAGCAGCAGCAACGCAGAACAAACTGCTGCTCAGCATGGGGGGGGAAAAGCAGGACCTTCCCTGCCCCATGGCCAGCGCTTCCTGGTGCAGCTGCTCGGAGCCCACATGGAGCTGCCTGTCTGCCGTGTCACTACTGCCTCTCGGCTGTCCCGCAGGGCAGCAGTGGCAGCAGAGAGCAGGCACAGCCAGCCCCATGGGGGCTGCACGCAGCTGAACCAGGGAACGCCAGCAGTGGGATGGGGATGGGCTGCTTTTTCCCCCAGCACTGAACAGCAGTTTGTCCCTATGAAGCCAGGCCAGCTCCCTTCTCTCCTTGCTGGCGCAGCCCAGCCCAGCTCCATGGACCACTGCCAGCCCACATCCCATGCTCCTGCCACCCCATTCTGGGCCCCGCCAGCTCTAGCCAGAGGATGTCAGTGCAGGGCCTACGCTCCTGCATGCCTGCTCACTTCAACTCCCCCTGCCCTCGCTGCCACTTTCCCGCCCTCCTGCCAACCACTCTGCACTACATGGCTCCCATACCCAGAATACCATACCCACACACACACATTTCCACAAACCCTCATACCCACCCAGCCACCCATACCCCCCCGACACCTCTGCACACATAACACACAGTATATGAGTAAGACTACATTTTGAGCTATTATGCAATCACTTCTACATATACAGCACAAATGCACACAAATCCTGTCAAGGGGTGGGGCTACCCATGCGGCCCTCAACAGCTTGCCAAAACTGGGTAAGCGGTCCTCTGCCCGAAATAACTGCCTGCCCCTGCTTTAAGGTCAGAGCTGCTAGGCTCTGGAATGGGCTCCCAAGGGAGGTGGTGCTCTCCCCTATCTTGGGGGCCTTCAAGAGGAGGCTGGATAGATATCTGGCTGGGGTATTATGATCCCAGCACTCATTCCTGCCCAGGCAGGAGGTCGCACTTGATCTGTTCAGGTCCCTTCTGACCCTAGAAACTATGAAATCAGGACAAAAATACATTTTTTAATTAAAATATATTAGTATGGGTATTTGATTTTTAGCACAGGCAACCCCTGCTTAACACCATTTTGCTTAGTGCTATTTTGCTATAGTGCTCATTTCACTTTGATACCTGGTTTCACTTAGTGCTCATGGGTTTTGTTATAACACTCATAGGTATTGGGCAAGGACGGGTTTTGTTATAACACTCATGGGTATCAGGCAGGGAGCATCGGTGGCGCGCAGCCTCATTGCCATCTTGCTTCGTCAAAAACTTTCGTGCTCTGGGCTCTTTTGTGCTTGTGTCATCATCTTGCTTCATTTTTTTGAGTTGCACCATGAGTCAGAAATGTACAACTGACTCTGAGAGTCCAAGTGCTGAGAAAAAACGGCACAGAAGAGTAATATTGGAGCTTAAATTGGATGTCCTGAAGCGAACTGAAGCAGGGGAATGCCGGAATGAGGTCTGTAGAGCATTGAATTTGGCTGGGTCAACTGTTAGGACCATATTGAAAAATAAAGACAAAATACTGTGGTAGAATTGTAATTCCTTTGAATGCTTTGAAACTCAGTAGGAGTAAGGCTCCAATTATGTTAGAAATGCAGAGGCTGTTAAGTGTGTGGATTGAGGATATAACTCAATGCTGTATGCCCTTGAGTATCCTGCTTATTCAGAAAGCTAAGAGTCTGTATGATGGTTTACAGAAAAAATTGCCTGAGGGGTCTGCTTCTGAGCCTTTTTATGCAAGTAAGGGGTGGTTCAAAAGATTTAAGAGGCACAGCAACTTGCATAATGTTTCTATTCAGGGTAGGGCTGCTAGTGCTGACACCCAAGCAGCTTCCAGTTATAGAAATAAGCTTGTGGAAATTATTGAGCAGTGGGGTTATATGCTTCAGCAAGTCTTCAACACTGATGAGACAGGCCTCTTCTGGAAGAGGATGCCTTCTAAGACCTACATTTCCAGGGAGGAGAAGTTGATGCCAGGTTTTAAGGTGTCCAAAGTGACTTACTTTATTGCTTGGTGGTAATGCTGCAGGGGATTTTAAATTGAAACCATTGCTTCTGTACCACTCAGAAAACCCCAGGGCTCTCAACAGGCATCTTAAAGGCAGTCTGCCAGTCATTAGAAAGTCTAACAAGAAGGCCTGGGTGACAATGTCAGTCTTTCAGAGTTGGTTCATGGATTATTTGTGTCCTGCAGTTGAGAAATACTGTGCTGAGAACCATCTGTCCCACAGACAATGCACCAGGCCATCCTACCACACTTGATGACCCCAGTGATAATATAAAAGTTGTTTTCCTGCCCCCAAATACCACCTCCATCATACAGACCATTGACCAGGGTGTCATTGCTGCCTTTAAGGCTTATTACATAAGGAAAACATTCACCCAGGTAGTCAGGGCTACAGAAGAAGAGGGTGCTCTGACCCTAAAAGAATTTTGGAAGGGCTATAATATCTGTAAGGCAATAAATAACATTTCAAGTGCCTGGGATTAAGTGCCTCCAAAACAATGAATAGTGTCTAGCGAAAGCTTTGGGCAGACTGTGTCCAGGATTCCCAAGAGGTTGAGGAACCAGTGGTGACAGTTCAGGACAATATCGTTGAGCTTGGAAGGAAAATTGAATTTGCTGAACTTGAACCTGAGGACATTCAGGAATTGATCGATTCCAACAGGGAGGAATTGAGTAATGAGGACCTCATTCAAAAAGAGCAGCAGAGAAGCCATGAAGAGGAAGAAGATGCTGAGGAGGATGTTGAACCAGCAAGGGCCTTAACCAGCAAAGGCATGGCTGAAGCTTTCAAACATCTTGAAGCTTTTCTTTCCTACTTTGATGAGAATGACCCTGACATGCGGCGCAGTTCTGAAGTTGCAAGGAGTTAACAATGAAGTCAATTGTTACAGGCTGCTTTACAATGAAAAGAAGCCCAAAGTGCAGCTATCAATGGATTCCTTCTTCAGGAAGCGCACAACTCCTGCTTCAACCCCTGCAGCCAGCCCTCAAAAAAATCCTCAGTCAAGCATTTCTAAAGCCCCTGAAACTGAGACTAACCCTGACAGCTCTGATTCAGAGTGCTCAAGGAAGCCAAAAGAGCAAAAAGTGAAAGTGCATCTGTGCATACAGTTATTTTATGTTGTAATTTTATACAATTTCAAAGTTCAAAGTGTTAAATAAAGTATTTACATACATGGGCGACTGGTGCCTCCTGAGTCCTTTGGGAATGAATTATCTGGTTATATGTAGAGAACAGGGGTACTAAATAGGTTGGAGTAATTTTAAATTACTCTCCCCATGGCAAACCCTCCTCCCCAAAGGAGTACTTCCAGGGGCAAGGGGAGGCACTTCTGGTGGCAAAGATCAGAGATTAGGGATTTAAGGTCCCAAGGTGATGACCAGGGGCCAGGGCACCTGTCAAGGGGCAGTGCTACCCATGCGGCCCTCTACAGCT